TCAGCAGGATGGCACTGTTCAGGAGGCTGTTTTACAGGAAGCCGCCGGATCGGTTGCTTGAAATCTCCGAGAGGGTCTACGGTACGTCTTCTGCCATGTGTTAGATTTGTTGTCCTTACTTGCTACTGGTTTTGATTCTTTTTTCGTTTGTTTCTGTGCGGAATTGGGATCGGTTGTAGGACCGGGAAGTGTGGTGTTGGCGATGTGGAGATATTGGGTTGGACAGGATGCTGGGATTAGTGTTTTGATGTTGTTAATTTTAAGAAACTGTTAAATCTTCGTTTTGAATTGTCCATTTCCTTGCAGTGTTTGATTGTTGCTTCTCTTCTGAAAGCTTGGGAGATAAAGAGTACAAGGATTACCTCGGAGTTATAGTTTCTCAGCTCCAAGATTACTTTCCCAATGCCTCATTCATGGTCTGTAACTTTAGGGAAGGTGATAAGAAGAGCTATATCTCTGATATTCTGTCAGAGTACGATGTGACGGTCATGGACTACCCTCAGCACCATGAAGGTTGTCCCTTGCTTCCATTGGAGATGATCCATCATTTCTTGAGGTCTAGTGAGAGCTGGTTGTCTCTGGAAGGGCAACATAATGTTTTATTGATGCATTGTGAAAGAGGAGGCTGGCCCGTTCTTGCTTTTATGCTTGCAGGCCTTCTACTCTACAGGAAGCAGTACAATGGGGAGCAGAAGACACTTGAATTGGTCTATAAGCAAGCTCCGAAGGCGTTGCTTCATCTTTCCAGTTCGTTGAATCCTCAACCTTCTCACCTTAGATACCTGCAATACATAACCAGACAAGGTGGCGGTTCAGATTGGCCTCCTAAGGGCAAGTCTTTCAAATTGGAATGCATCATTCTTAGGTTTGTTCCAAAATTCGACGGCGAGGGAGGTTGCAGACCTGTCATTCGGGTTTATGGTCAAGATCCTCTAACTCCTACCAACAGGACCTCAAAATTGCTTTTTTCAACTCCAAAGACCCAAAAAAATGCTCGGCATTACAGACAGGTTATGCTTGTTCTTTCTGGACCTAGGTGTTTTTTGGTTGAGTTTATTTAGGAGAAAAATGTCAAAATGGTCACTCGACTCTTTATAGAAAATCATTTTAGTTTCATAGCTTATATATGTGTCAATTTAACCCGATTCTTTACATATGGGCTGAAATAGTCTCAACAAATGAGTATCTTAGCCCCAATTACAAGAGTTTGAGGACTAATTTGGCACTTATATATAATTTGAGGGCTATCTCGGTACTTTACTCGTTTACTTAGAATTCAAGTGTATTATATGCAATGTAAAGTAAATTCAATATATTTGAAACATATAGTTATTTGACCAGTTAAAATAAATTCAGCAAACCAATTATTGTTTTTTGTTTGTTTGCAAGAAAAATAAACTCTAAATATTTCAATGCAAAGAGCATGGGTATGATACTGTCATATTTTCCAGCAAGTTTGATTATGTTCGTCGTATTTGATTGCGACATGGGGTGTTCCGGGATAAGGCGAGCCGTGCATGCAAGCTTTGGATGCTAATGGGACACATGGGGAGTTGGGACGAGCTCTTCACAATTACTAAATACAAGAGCGTTTTGCAGGGAGGAGCCCTCACAAAAAATATGAAGATTTGGAATTTGCCCAATTTTGTGGAAATTTGTATTCAAATTTTCCCAAAAAATTTGCTTTGAAATTATTTTGCACTCATCCAATCAGCTGAAAATGTAAAGCCTCAACAATTTGATAGAATGTAATACACTCCTAAATACAGTCAACCAACCAGCCTCTTTATTAATGTTCTTTTCGTTCAGCTTTATTGGTTTTTTTATAATTTTTATAGGAGAATGCATGCCTAAAAATAAGTGCCAGCTGCCTTGTTCAAGGAGATGTTGTACTTGAGTGTATCCAGTGTATCCATGTGAACGATGATTTGGAGCGAGAAGTCATGATGTTCCGAGTCATGTTTAACACCGCGTTTATTGAGTCTGATATTTTATTGCTGAACAATGAGGAAATTGATGTGGCATGGAATGTGAAGGATCAGTTTCTTAGAGATTTAAAAGCAGAGGTTCATTCCTCCTTTTCATTATTTCAAATTTATCTTCCTTTTACGATGAAATTTGAACACTCATTCATTGCCATAACAGGTACTCTTTTCAGACTTTGATGCGGGTGAATCTGAAATTAACTTAGAAGTAGCAACTGGAGATGATGATGGTGATTTTGAAGGTGCTTCCACAGAGGAGTTTTTTGAGGCCGAAGAGATTTTTAGCACCGCAGAATTGCCTATTGATGCTCAGATAATTCATAAAAGAAGTACAGTGGATGACAATGTACCAAATTTAGAACTTAATGTTGTAGCTGATAAAGATATGAAGAGATTAGAAAGGGGCTTTACTCAGCAGAGTTCCAATATTTCCATTAACAGGAGGTTAGATAAAATTGATAGAACTATTGCGCCGGTTGAATTCACTAGAATGGCTGATGAAGCGGAGAGCACATTTGAAACCACTGATTCTGAACCTATTGTTACTGAAAAACTTATTTTACTGCAGAAAACAGAGGCCATATCTCCAACAGTCGAAAAGTCTTCTAAATCAAATTCTTCTGAAGATTCTGAGCCCAAAACATTTTATGCATCAGCAATAAGCAATTTCTTTCAGAAGACTAGCACTGCCGATGATGAAGCGGAAAAGTTGGAGAACCTCACACTTAAAAATAGAAGAAACATCAAAGCGGAATATAGTGTTTCAAAAGAGGGCATGAATGGTTCTTCTTTTGAAAGAAAACCTATTTTGGATGGCAACGATCACGATTTTGCTATTCTAAGTGTGGTTGATCATAAAGCACAAGGAGTAGATGCATATGATTGCCAGAATGATACGGAAATTGAGGTGGGGATATATTCTGATAACTGGTTGGAAACCTCATCTTCAACCGATCAGGGAGAAAGTGGACCAAACATTGCTATTTGCAATAAGAGAACTTCTAGCGAAAAATCGATAGCCTTAGATGAGATGAATCTGTTTGGAGGGAATAAGCCACAGGAATCAACAGTTTCATACAGAAAAGCAGTGTTATTGTTCCCCTTCACATGGAACAAAAGAGTGCAGCTGACCCAAGCCATCTTGAATGTTTAGACTCCCTCGTTGAAGATAGAAATGTGCTGGAAAGCTTTGTCTCTGAAAGTGATCCGGTGATTTCTATATTCAAGGAATCTGTTTTGAGTGATGGTAATCGAAAGTTTGGTTTGAGTGACGCTGCAAACAAAAGATTGTGTAGTGCAAAAACTGTTGATTTTGAAAGAGAAGATAATGATAGGGCAAGTGAAGAAGTAAGGGTTGAGGCAAAGTCTACAAATAAGAAGACGGGAAGTATTACTCAAAAGCAGAATAATGAGAAGGTTTTGCCTCCCATGCCAAAAAAAAATTCAACAAAAAGCAGTCCTCCATTTAATCCTGTCATAAATAAACTGAAGTGTAATCAACAAAAAGCTTCAAATTTGGACGCAAAAGCAGCCAAAACTAAAATTGTTGCTCGGTGGATATCCCCACAAAAAGCTTTGGATGCAACGTTTTATAGACCTTCTCACCCTCCATCTAGATACAATAGCGCACCACCTTCTTTAGCCATTTCATCAGTTGAGAAAGATGATGAAATGATCAATACTACTGCTCTTCTGGTAGACTGTCATTCATCAGACGAGAATGTTACTTCAATTGGCAGTTTGCCATCACTCTCTGTATCATCAATAGCACCTTTGAATCATGTCCTCGATCATATATCGACAACATGCCAGCATATAGTTGCCGATTCTCCTGATTTGCATCTTGCAACACCATCCCTACCATTGCCGCCACCGCCACCGCCGCTGCCACCACCCCCTCCTCCTCCTATCCTAACACCACCATCACCACCACCTCCTCCTCCTCCTCTCCTAATACCACCATCTACATTTGTAGGAACTTCTGTCAAAGTCGCATCCCCTTCTCCTTTTTCGGCACCCAATTTCTTAGGATCACCCATCAAAGTCTCAAGCACTTGTCCTCTTCTCTCTACTCCTCTACTTCCACCCACAAACAAAAGTGTATTCATGAACGCTTCTATGCCGCCGCCGCCGCCGCCGCCGCACCAAGTAGTCCAAACAAAGGTTCCAATCCCCCCCTCACCACCTCCACCTCCACCTCTGCCTCCATCTTCTCCATCCATGAGTTATTTGGGTACATTTTCTTCTCCTCCACATACAACTGTGTCTATTACCGCGAGGAATTCAGTAGGTGCACCTCTGCCTCCACCTCCACCTCCACCTCCACCTCCACCTCCACCTCCACCTCCATGTGGAGGTTCATCTAATGTCACCCGCTTTCCTCCCTCGCTTCCTACCAAGCCTTCGTCTAGTGGATCAGGTCCCGCCATCCCAACTCCTCCCCCTCCACCTAGGCCAAATGTTGATGGATTAGCTCCTAGCTCTCCTCCTTTAAAGCTTTCTACTAAAGCTTCTTCAGGAGCACCGCCTTCGCTTCTACCACCAATTCTTATGCGAGGTGAAACTCCTTCTCCACCCCCACACCCTGGAGCATGTGTAGGAGCTCCAATGACTCCCTCTTCACCTCCACTTGGAGTGCCACCTCCTCCACCACCTCTACCCGGGGGACGCAACGTTGCTCCGCCTCCGCCTCCCCCTCCTCTCTCTGTAGGCCGGGGTGCTCCAGCGCCGCCACCACCACCACCTAGGGGATGTAACAAAATCCCCACTCCCCCTCCACTTGGAGGTTGTGGTGCTCCACCAACCCCACCACGAGCTCCTGGTGTCCCCCCTCCTCCACCTCTTGGTACCCCTCCAAATGGTTCGAAAGGTCCACCCCAGACTTCCTTAGTTGGAGGAAGAGGGCGCGGGCTTTCACGTGCTATTGGATTTGGTTCCTCTTCACTAGCACCACGTAGATCATCATTGAAGCCATTGCATTGGGTGAAGGTCACAAGAGCAGTTCAAGGAAGCTTATGGGCAGAAATACAGAAGTCTGATGATGCTCCTAGGTATAGTAAATATGCAGTTAATCACACTTATTTCCTTTGTAGATAGTCAATGTAATGTATATCTTCTGTTATTTTCTAAAGTAGTATTTATCTCTCCTAATATTAGATATTGTATTATATGATAATCTCTATTCATTTTTTGAAATTACACTTGCTTTAGTTGCAGCATATTTTTTATGGCTTACCCATTGGAACTGCTTTCAGTGTTTCGGAATTCGACGAGTTGGAATTGGAAAGTCTGTTCTCTGCTGTCATTCCAAAGTCAAATGATGGATCAAAATCGGAAGGACGAAGGAAATCAGTTGGGTCGAAATCTGATAAAGTCCACCTGGTAACTGAAGGATGCTAACTTTTGTACTCCAGTGGCTATTCTCGTCATGCTTTCTAGACATCTAAATGTTTTTCTAAAGTTTCATGTGGCCTTTCTTGCTTGCACGATAATTGGGCATGCTTGCATTTTAAAAATGTTTTTTTTAATCTCAATAATCTCTGTTCATTCTCCATTTCGAGCTTTGCACCAATGTACCACAAACTGCACCATCTGCTCTTAACCTAAACTCTAAGAGAAGGTCCTTAGTTTTCATAGCTTCATACGAATTGAGGCTGTACACTAACAATTTTTGACAGAGAATAAGTTATTAATGCAAATGGCTATCTTTGAAGACGGACATTTACTACCATAACATTATGATTGACTGGGACATTTAACTCACTCTTCCACGAACATTCAGATGACAGCAAATCCACTGCTTATATCAAATCTTACTGATTTGTCGCTTGCCAATGCTCATGCCATCTAGTTAGCATCAGTCCTCTTTTGACAGTTAAAAGCATTTTATCATCTTAAATTTGTAAACATTGGTGTTTATCATGCTTGAAATTGATAAATATCAACATTCTCTTATGCTTAGAATGAAATAAGTCATTTTAATGTTTCTCTATAAGTGTGACGGCCATATCAGTTATGATTTTGCAAATTATGCTTAGACATGCTGCAATAAATAATTTTGCATTATGAAGGGCTTAAGTAGTGCTTGAAACTCCCACTACGCTTGGGATTGTTTGTGTTACTTTGTATACAATCCTACCCATGCATTGGAGAACGCTGATTTCTATCACTCAAATCTGGTTTTCTAGATTTTAATGGAGGAATCCTAATCGCAGCACCAAGCCTTCCATCTAATAGTAAAATCATGTTCGTTTTTTTTTTGTTAGGGTGGAAAGTGGGCCAATAACTAGACTACATAGCTTTAGATCCAATGCCGAATCAGGGATAGTTGGAGAGAAAGCTAGATGAAAAAGCTTCAGATGAGTTTAGGAATTAATCCATAAATTTGTTATGTCAGAATGTATTTTGAAAGTTTAGGTCTTTTGCTTTCGAGTATAGCAACTTAGATTTCATTGAATCCGTGCTATTTTCAGGATCATCGATATCTAGTACTTGAGGTTTTTTATTTTCCATTCTATTCAATAGTTATCTTTCTTCTTATGACTTCATTACATCTATTTCTCTTGTCAAGTCTATTTTTTATTTTTTCTTTTAATATTTTTTCTCCTGTCTAGTTTCTTCTCAATAGTGGTGTTGAGTCTTGGCTTAATCAAGTTAAACTTGTTTAATTATTAATTAGGTTGAGCGCGAACTCGAGCTTGACTTGAGTAAATGAAGTCAAGCTCGAGCTTGACTCATATACTCGAGCTTCATTAGGAAGCTTAATCTTGACTTGATTATTGAGCTCAACTTCATTTATAGATATCGAAATTTTTTTACCCTTTTACAATCAACCTAATTAAAATTTGATCATATATTTTAACTAATGTTAATCGATTTGACTCGATGAGTTATATATTTGAGTGAGGTCAAGCTTGAGCCCGATCTTCTATAATATATGAGCTTAAATTTGTGAGCTCATTAATGAGTCGAATAGAGTTTGAGCTAGCTCACAAGCTGACTTAGCTCACTTTCAGCTTCATTTCTTAGTACTTACCATGGCAACAATGAATTTTGTGTAGTGTTTGTTAGCCATAGTATTTCACTTGTTTACTTGTTTTTTTATTAAGAATGGAAAAAAAGTTGTGTTTCAGTACATAAGTTGAGCCAGCTTGTTTAGGAAATAATAGTTTTAATCTTCGAAATTGTTTATGAATTTTGAAAATTACTCCTTGACCAACAAGAATTTTAAATATTTTTAAGTCACAACTTCTTAATTTTTTAGCTATTGCATTGTTCTAAGCACAATATTCAACATTTATACTCCATTGACTGTTTTTTTTTTAATTTTGCATATATTTTTATTGATTTAGAAAAGGCTTATAATAAAGTACCCAGGGAAGTAATTTGGGGAGTCTTAGAAAAGTAATTTGTTGATATTGCTTATATTTAGGACATTAAATGTATGAGAGTTGTTACTTGTGTTCGAATTGAAGGAGGATTGACCAAATATTTTCTTATTTAAGTTGGAAAAATCAACTTTAAGCCCTTATGTTTTTGCTTTGGTTATGGATTTTCTTACTGCACCTTTACATGAGGATGTATCTTGGTATATGCTTTTCATTGATGATATACTTCTTGTGGATAAGACTAAAGAGAGAAAACTTAAATCAGGGAGGCCAACTCTTGTGTCTAAGGCTTTTTTTTGAGTAGATCTAAAAAATCAATATATGGAATGTAATTTTAGTAGTAGTAGATCTAGTGACGGAGTTGTAACAAAGATCGACCAAGTTATTAAAAGAAGTGAACATTTTAGTCTATTGTTCAAAGTGATGGTGATATAGATGGGGATTTTTTAAGTAGAATTCAAGTTGGATGGTTGAAGTTGAGGAATGCATCGGGCCTATTATGCAATAGAAAAGTACTGCTTAAATTTAAAAGGAAAATTTTATAGGATGGTGTTGGGACTTGCAATGCTTCATGGCACAAAATGTTGGCCTGTAAAAGAGAAACATTAAATCAAGTTAAATGTTGCTGAGATGAGAATGCTCGGGTGGATGAGTGACTTTGCACTTAGTGACAATGCAAAATGAATATATCCGTGAAAGGGTTGTAGTAGCTCTAGTGGTAGATAAGAAGATAAGATTAGAGAGAGCCGCGAGAGCCGCCTTAGATGGTTTGTTCACATTAAACGTTGACCATCTAATGGCCCAGTTAGGAGAGTAGATGTTTTAGATTTGACTTATGTTAAGAATGGTAGAGGTAGACCTAAAAGGAGTTGGAAAAGTTGTATAAAAATATTCTTAATTTATTAGAATTAAATGATGCCACTCAATATGATACAATAGAGAAAAAGAAATCCTGTAGCCGATCTTTCTTCGTGGGATATAGGCTTGTTGTTGTTGTATATATTTTTGTTATCTATTCTTGATTTCAAAGTAATTTGTTACAGAAAAAATTTTAAGTGTTTTCGCAAAAGATTCAAAGTAATTTGTTACAGAAAAAATTTTAAGTTTCTCTGCAAGAGATGGACCTGAAAGGTCATCTTCAATGCTCCTCTTTGGACAAACTTTCCATGTCATTTACGCTGCGTTTAATGAAGTACTTTTAATTATGTTATTCAGCCATTGCCTTGTGAATATGCTATCCTAAAGAACTTGAATAATTAGATATTTGCTGCCGTTTGCATAGAACTCTTTAATATTATCTCACTCCTTAAACGAGCTATAAATTCATTGTATTTATTCGTTTTCGAACCCATAAATATTTTTGTTTTTTTTTTTTTTTTTTTTTTTTTTTTGTATAGATTGAACTAAGAAGGGCAAACAATACTGGGATCATGCTGACAAAGGTTAAGATACCGATTCCTGATCTGATGGTATGCATTTTTCTTTTATTTACCTTGTCATGTAAGTAAAATTTTCACTATAAAGTTATGGGCAATACCATCATTGTCAATCTTGTTTGTATTTATATATTACCAAAATTCCAACTAGAAGATTGAATGATTGGTTTTGTAATGGTGGTCTTTTCATGCTCTCGAGTAAATTTTTATGTTTATTTAGTTTTGTACATTAAGTTGACCAATATCTGAAAACAGCTTACTGAGGGTTTGGTTGGGAGAAAAAGTTTCATCAATTTGTTTGTTAAAATAATTGTTGTAATTTACCATGCGGAACCATTGGTTGTCAGAATTTCATCATTATCTGCCCTGTCAATTATTGTTTTAATGGTCAGTCCAGCGAGGGCTTCTATATTGCATGGGTGTTTAGTTCTTCCACTTAGAAGAATATGATTTTTTCACGGATATGATTATAAAGGGGAATATATTATCACAACTCATTTGTATGACCCGAAAGAGTTGAACAATGACCAAACAAAGTGAGCCAATGCTGCAAATAAACAGAGCCGAGCTGAGCAGTAACTTGCTTGAATTTAAACTCGTTTGCGAAGACCCTATTTTATCTAGAGTGCAATCTCAATTTGAGTATTTGGTGTATTATTCAAGCTTTCATCTTTATTTTTGTTTATTTATTTGTTTTATTATTATTATTATTATTATTATTATTATTTTTGTACTTTTCAAGCTTATTTATTTAAAAATATGACCATTTGAGCTTGCTGTGCTCGGCTTATTAGCTAACAAAATAAACCTTTCTGAGTTTACTAACAAGTAGTACTATCGAGTAGTTTGTTTGTTTACTGGACAAGTCTTATCACACCTATTAATGAATATCCTATTGAGCTTAAAATTTAAAAATAAGATCTTAACTGAATAAGCTATGAAGAAAAAAAAAAACATACATAAGTGGCGCGTGTTCCCGAACAAAAGCAGTCTAATATAGAAAATTAAGAGGCCTCCCATGTCCTGATATATTAAAAAAAATTTTAATGGTCTTAAACGAGTATATTATTAAGCCTTAATCAAGCTTCTTAATTAGTTTATTTAGGATCTATAAATAATATTATTGAAGATCATGTACAATTTAACATATTTATCAACTGAGTATTTATGAAAATGCTCAAATTTATTCAATTAATTAATTAAATGATCATAAATTGGTTCTAATCGAGCTTAACAATGAATAGCTTGTTGAGTATATTTGTTCATTGGAAACCCAAAAGTGTGGTGACTTGATGAAGTTCTAATGAATACAATAAACATAATCTGATCAAAATAATAATATTTTGCTAAGCATATGATCAAAGCTTCTAATAAATTACAGAAAATTAGTTGAACAATAACTATTGTCATAATTCATCTAAGAAAAGAAATAAATTGCTGCAAAAATAAATAAATAAATTTTTGAGTTGAAAATCATAAAATTTAATACATGCGTGTTTGCAAGAAACAAATACAGTTTGTGAAATTTAATTGAGTGCAAATGACAAGGAATTTAGTGTATAACACAAATTGATACCATTCATATTGCATAGTTTGTCGTCCTGATTTTTCATCCATAGTTACATACTTGGGATTTTGTAAGCATTGATTCCTTCATACCTATAACAATTACATGTTCGCATTTTGTAGCATATGCTTATGTAGAGAGAAAAAAGCCTTTGTTATCTTTTTACGATGTCAATGAATATGTCTGGTGCGATCTTTAAATTTAGGCCCATAGATTTGTAGTCATTGGTGATATGCGACTTGTGGTTTGAAATTTATGAATGAATATGACACTGACAGGAATTTTATGAATTTGTTTTGATTTTAACACAATTCATTCAGTAAGAAATGGGGTGGCCTTGCCTGGTCTTTGGCATTCTACAAGGAATGAATTTAAGCATTTACTTGCCCGTTGTTTTTTATTGAAAGCAGCTGCCTTGAATCCTTGCCGTTGTATTTTTCTCTACAGTCTGGTCCCTTGCTGTTTGCTCTAGCTGTCTCACACCAAATTTTGTCCATCCTCTTACTAGCCCACAGTAGTCTCCACGCCTTGTTATAGCTTGCCAATCATTCAACCTCCCTTTTCTTTATTTGGTCAATTTTGGGCTTTTTGATTCATGTGATTGTTGTTGCTATCTCATTAATCCAGGTGTGTTCTATTTTTATTAAATTATATAGCTGAATTCAGCCCTTTGTACATTTTTTACTAGAAGTTCTCCATAAACATGTATAAATTTAACACAAATGATGGAATGTATATGGTAAATTCTATGCAATTCTTGTAATGTTACTAGATTCTTGTGCCTTTTCTTTTCAATTTCGTTGAGTTGCAGCTTTCAGTGTTGTATTGCTTAGAATTTTGCAAGCCTTCACTGACGCAATCTTGTTTCTTTCTTTCACCTAATTTTTTTATTTGCAGTGTTCATTTTTGTAGTCTTATTTCTATTTTTTTCTTTCAAATTGTCGGCAATTAACACCGTAATTTCCTTCCCATGGATCACAACAATGCTGACGTTCTTTTGGCTGTAGTGTCATTTGAAATAGCGACTGACAACCGAAATCTAACAGGAGAATTAGAAAACATTCTTTGAACAGATTTTTTTAATGAAAAGAGGTACTTCAAGTGGTCACAATTGATTCAAATCTCCTTGTAGGAAAGAGGTAAATTGGGCCATTTACTTGACCCCAGATCTTTAACAAGGTGATCCCATTTTCAACGCTTGGTGTGAACAGGACTTTATGGTGATGTCTTTGTTATAGAAGTCCATGAATCCTTTAATAAGTGAAATTTGCTTGTTCTTTCATTCAACAACAAAAATATGGAATACATGAATCAAATGCATCGTAGAGCCTGAGTTGTGGTTCAAATCTATGGGATCAAAATGAAGATTTCATCCGCAATGCAAGGAGGATGATACATTATGGAATACTCCAACTAACTTCAAGGCTTTTGAAATAGTTCAATTCTTATCAATACATGCATATGATATGTCCGACAAAGATACAACCGAATTTATCATTTTTAATTTTATCAAATATTTAACAAATTCTCAAATGGACTTTTATTCCTTAAATGAAATCATTGTCATCATTTAAAAGAAAGGGAGATGTTGATTACTAATAACCTAATGGAAGGTTCACCTTTAGCGACTAACTTTCTACGTACTAGGATTAATCAGGGATCAAATCATCTTTAAAGAATCTGATAGGATCTGAGATACATTTTCCCACAGAAATTAGGGCAAAATAAATATTTTATTGCATGATCATGAAACACTCAAGATGAATTTATTGATAAGCACCTACAATTCAAAAAGGAGGCAATATCTCCCAATTACTACAATCCGAGAGGTTGGAAATGTCTCCAAAATCCTAATCGAAAGACTCAAGGCCCGATCTCATGCATATCTCAAATCCTAAATATATTAACTCTATTTATACCGAACAATAATAATAATAAAAAACTAAATTGCCCTTGGGTTAATAAAAGATAAAATTGCTCTTATGCACCGGCACAACAATACTCCTTTCCCAAAAATACACCTTGTCCCTCAAGATGGAAAATTGTTGTTGGATCAGGTCATATCGCCCTCAAGTGGCGTCATCGTTTGACTATCATTTCCCATTAATCTGAAACTCGTAGTGACTCATTGACTCAAATTGTCGTCTTGCGCACATCCTTTTACTGCATTCGAATCTGATGGTGTATTGATTTTCAGTAAATCTTAGAGAATATCGTAGCCCCAAATATCTCATCATGTAGCTCATCGATCACCAAAATCTCTATCAAGTTTGTATCTTGTATGATTTTCATGTTATGCCACTCGATTAAGAATACCAGCCATCGTCCTAAATCACCCTCATCATAGTCTTTAGTGTTACCAACGTCTTGCACAAATTGGGATCACCGTGAAGCACCGCCATGTTGTCTCCCTCTTGAATACTCTTTAGTGTCTAAATCAGTCCCTTACAAACTCCCCTATTCTTCTCCATTTGTCTCATTCCCATCATTACTTCTGAATTCCCCTTCTCCTATAAGGCTTTTGTAGTAAATGCCACGGACACAGTTGGAGGCAATGCTCCGCCGGGCTCCCACCCACCGTGGTTCCCCATCCTGGTCCAAAATTTTTCAAGTCGATATTCTTCGGCTCTGTATCACACAATTTCATTCTGCTTGCTGCTGCTCATTCCAAACCTTATGATGTCGTGCAATTTCCTCCAGAGGCTGTCGCTCGAATATGTTCTTGGCTCCTTTGTTCTATCCTGCTTACTTTTGTTTGTTCGAGCCATCCGAATGTTACAGTATTTGTTTCAAATGTTAGTGCTCGAGTTTGCTCCTAATTATTTCACTCAATACTGCTTGTCCCAATTCGCCTAAAGCAGCTAAGTTGCCATGATTGTTGGGATTCCTCCAAACAATTCTCAATGTCACAACAAAATAGGATCAAAGGATTAAAAAAAAGTGGAATAATAAGTTTAAACCAAAAACACAATAAAAAAACAAACAGAAAAGAACACATGAATTTTACGTCAAAAAACTCGAGAACGAAAAAAAATTACGGAACCACACCTCCACAAATTTTACTTTGAATTTCAGAGAGTTTTACAAAAGATTCACACAAGTTTTTTCTCAATACTCACATGGAAAAACTTACAATGGACCACTCTACACTTCCTACAGATCTAACGCAGAAACACACATCGAAAAATACCAGAATTCTTCTCACCTTCCCTAGGATTTTATTGAGGAACAAACTGGAAGCCTTACGCTCAAAGCTTGCACATACACTACCCGAAATCGTGACATAAATAGCAGTTCTTGTGCCGCCCAGATTTGGGCGCAGAGGCGCCTAGTTCTCTGGAAGCAGGTGCCCCAGTGCCAGAAGTGGGTGCCTAAGCGCCTAGTTTGGGCGCAAGACTTCCACCTTCTCGGTTGGGGAACACTCAATGGGCGCTTAAGTGCCCATAGCCTGACACCTTGGCACTGG